ATGTGTAAACAGCGCAGTTTTAATCTTTAGTTTGAGTTTTATGTTTAAACAGCGCAGTTTTTAATCTTTAGTTTGAGTTTTATGTTTAAACAGCGCAGTTTTTAATCTTTAGTTTGAGTTTTATGTGTAAACAGCACAGTTTTTAATGTTTAGTTTGAGTTTTATGTGTAAACAGTGCAGTTTTTAATCTTTAGTTTGAGTTTTATGTGTAAACAGCACAGTTTTTAATCTTTAGTTTGAGTTTTAAGTGTAAACAGTGCAGTTAGCGGAAGCAGTCCGGATCCAGCTCCCGGCCGCTCCGCTCCGGGATTTCCAGTTCTCGCGACAGCTCGGTAAGATGGCTGTGTCTCGCAGAGCCTCGTGCTGGTCTGGTTGATTTCTAGCTCGCGCTGTGGTTCTGTAACAGAACCCCCCACCCCCCCCACACACGGCTCTGTTTTCATCCAGTCTTTCTGCCTCAAACTTCAGCCGCTGCCGGGGTGGACTGTGGACCGAGCCGCGGTGGATTACCGGTGCGGCGGCCGGAGGGACGCGGGGGGAATGAACCGGGACAGCGGGTATGTGGTTCCCAGTGTAATCGCGTTAATATTCGATGGTTCTTCTGGGTTCCACTGTGAGTGAGTCTCCGTGCTGAGAGAGGAGCTGAAGAAAGACACAGAGGAGGAGATCATGGCCGCTCAGGTCGCCTCTCTCAACACCAGTCCGCCTGCCGAACTCAAAAAGCCGGATTTGGACCTACAAGAGGAGTCGGTACCGGGGGAGAAGCAGCATGAAAATAAGGACCCGGGACCTGACGTGGGCTCTCCGGGCCAGAAGGAGCTGCATGACGGGAGCGATGCCGGGAACGGAGGAGGAGAGGCGGACATGAAGAACGGWACCGGGAGTTTACCCCGGGTCAACAACAGCCAGAATGACACGGTACCTGAGGGGAACAACCTGTCCGGGATGGGTCACCACCACCCGGGGCCCTTCCCTCCTCCTCCTTACGGCTACAACCAGCACTACAGCCGGGGCCCTTTCCAACATGGCGGACAACAAAGCCCTGGCATGGCAGCTGCATCGGGGCCGGCTCTGATGGACCCGTACCCGGCTAACTCCCACGAACACGGCTACCACAACAACTACAGCCCGTTCCAGAACAGGACTTCCTACCCGGGCCAAGGCTACGGGCCCATGGGCTCCCCCCGGAGCAGCCAGCCGCCGGCGGCCGGGGGGCAGCCCGGCAAGCAGCAGCAGCCGGCAGGAGGCACCGCTGCCATGGCTGCCTCCTACAGCAGCCCGCGGTACAACATGGGTACCCCACAACCTACATCCACACCGACCCTGAACCAGCTCCTGACCTCCCCCAGCTCCGTCAGGAGCTACCCCAACTACCCCCAGGGGGACTACAACAACCAGGACGGGGCCAGCAAGGGACCAGCAGACATGGGCCCCAGCCAGTATGGAGGGGGCCACCCGGGCTGGCAACAAAGAGCCCACCATCCTCCCCCCATGAGCCCGGGCAACACCGGACAGCCGCCCAGCAGAGCCCAGGTAAACCTCACCCACCTCAGGCACWCTGAGCGGGTCGGCCCGGCTCAGGGAGGCCCATCAGAACCACACAGCTGCATGATGTGGGCCCAGCCATTGTGTGTGTGTAGCTGTATAAAATGGCTGCCTGTGCCTCATCCTGGCTGCTCAGAGGGAGAGGAGCCGTGCTGCTGATTCAACCAGGAGTCCTGGTCCTGGTCCGGGTCCGGGTCCGGGTCTGGGTCTGGGTCCAGGTCCAGGTCCAGCCTGGGCACTGCTCTGTACAGCTGAAGAGTTTCTCTAAGTAGATCAAGAGTTGCAGAGGTGTGTGTGTGTGTGTGTGTGTGTGTGTGTGTGTGTGTGTGTGTGTGTGTGTGTTACAGTCGCAGTGTTTTGTGCAGATAACCACGGTTGTGTGTTTGGTGTGTCTGGTTCTGTCAGAACCATAAACATGTTAATGAGAAGTGTTAATTAATATTTACTAATGACTGAGGATAAAACACACTCCTGTCAGATAATGAGTCTCTTCTTTCCAACCATCAGTTTGGACTGAGTGTTAGAATAATGACACAACCTGACAGGAAGTTTCATTCATCCTGGCCCGGCCCGGCCCGGCCCGGCCCGGCTCGGCTCTTTTGTGTGTCCGGCCCCCCCTGCACACACGCTGTGTGAAGCCAGGCTGCAGCAGGTTGGTGAAGCTGCAGAGCCTCTAAGCTTTGGGATTTGAATTATGGAGGTAAAAAGCTGCTGTCAGAGCAGGAGACAGGTGGTCTCAGGTGTTGACACGGAGCTCGGCTCTGATTGGCTCTCTGCTCTGGACCTGTTATAATGGCTTCTAATGGCAGGCTGCAGAAAAACAGTGCCCCTCCTCCCTGCACACAATGCCCTTTAAAACCTCAAACTACACGCTSTTTTTAGCACTTACAACCACATTTTGCTATATTTACATGTTTATTTGCATTTATAAMTGTTATTATATGTTGTATGTAACTGTCTTATTGCATGTATTTATAGGAAGCAGAGTTTGCTCACCTGTCACTGCAGTGATTTACACTCTGTGTGTCCTGATGTGGATTCATCTTTGTTTTTATTTACCTGATCCAAGCGGCACTCACCTGACCACAGGTCGGGCGTTAGGAGGTAGTGTTTTTGTGTTGTCAGCAGAGGGGAGTAGGCGTGGCCACGCTGCTGTTCCCACATCAGGACTGGAAGCAGATCTGTGTGATCAAATGTCTGTGCAACACGTGAGACTTGGACTGTGCTTCGGCTCTGTTTACAGCAGCCGAAGGTGTCAGCCAAGTGTCACAGCCGTGTTTTCACCAGGGTTTACAATGGCCTCATTTACTCCCACTGCCAGGGTTTCCATGTCAGTAGTCATTACCTGCACCTCTGCTTCACAACTAACGTGTGTTTTTACTGCACGTCATGTCTCTGACAGGTTGTAGTGCTTACTTTAAATACTGATATTTATAATCAATGAAAGAGGTTTATAGGAGCATAAAACACTGCACATCCTCATCACCTGCTGTAATAATATTTAAAAATATTGTGTTGCTGAGGGTTTTAAACGTGGCGTATTGAATAGTAGTCCTGACAGGGATTGTGTTGTCTACAATAAGTAGATGTGTGTTTGGTACTACTTCGTCTCCATCAAAGTGCTGTTCATGAAGTGTTTCCCTCAGAGCTGTGTGATACACACACTTGTTGCTGTAGGCTGGAAGATGAAGGCTTTCACACATTAAGATTGCTGCTCTCTTGAATGACAACAGCAGAAATTGCAGGCACTTACAGCCACACAGTGCACTGCTGCAGTTGTGTTTGAATGGCAGCAAACAYGTTGGACTGAGAGGGTTTTACCCCAATATTTACTGTGTTGATATCAGTGGCAGTAAACTGTGTTGTTGAATGAACAGTTTTAACACACTCCTCACGGAATATGTTGTCATGTTTGTGTGTCCCTGTGATGSACTGACACCTGTCCAGGGTGTACCCCGCCCCTCCATATGGGCACCAGTGACCCTTAAAGGGATAAACAGGTAGAGATAATGCATGGATAAAATATGAGTTGTTTTAATTGGCAGGTCAGGTTATTCTGATATTCAGGGTGTGACTAGTTGTGTTTCCATTCACCATGAAAATGCGCAAATTAGAATTTATAAAATAAATTTGCTCAATGGAAACACGTCAATTTTGAAAAAAATTACATTTTTTGACAAAATGTTTTTGCACTAGGATGAGGTGGTTTTTCAGCCGTATCTAAATTGGTGTTTTT